TGCTTTTGAATTTGTTAATTTTTGTTCCGATGTGTTTAGAATGTGTTTATAGGTAATTTATTATGCGTGAAATTTAGTTTTGGTGCTGTTGTGATAGGTTGAGATTGGTTTAGAAACCAATCTTTTATTTTTTTTTCTAAGTTTCTGTAAGGTCGGATTTCAGAAATCCGACCTTCCACTTGTTTTACTAAGAAATCGGATTTTGAGAATTCAAACTTACCTTACCCGGATTCTCAAAATCCGATTTAAACTTACCCAGATTTCTGAAATCTGACCTTATACTAAAATTGGATTCTTAAAATCCGGCCTTGGTCAAAATTTTATTTTAAAACAAAACTAAGTGTTTTTCTTGAAAATATTATATTTTAATATGATAGGGTCGGATTTTCAGAACCCGGCCTTCTCTTAATCTTGATTAATTTTATTAATATTTCGTATTAAGGGAAGGTCGGATTTTGAGAATCCGATTTCATTGGAAAATCGGATTTTAGGAATCCGATATCGGTATTTTGCTCTTCCCCAAAATTCGACCTATATTTATATCTACTCTTTTTTTTGAACCATTTTTTAACTCAAAAACTCCCTCAAATTAGGAGAGCTGGAAATTCGAATTTAGTGGCGCTTGGCTTCTAGATTGGTCCCGCCACGGAGTCGGAGCTTGGAGAAGAAGTTCAATATGTAGTTTGTGGAGATTCAAACTTGGGTTTGATCCTCTTTGAAACTGCTTGGGCTAGTACCGGACACGGAGGAATCCTAGTTGATTCCGGCACTACGGTGACTAAAATCGGTAATACCCAATTTTTTTTAATTTTTTTTCAGGGTCAACAAATGTAGGATCCACCCCCTGCTGGAAATGAATAAAATATTAGGAGATTAACGGAGGAGTTAAAATTTCCGTCAATTATTAAGAAATACTTCTAAAAAGACCAAAAATGGACAAAAAAAGTATTAGGGGACTAAAATTGGAAGCAAAATGTTTTTGGTGATTGGCTTGGGCTACTCCCAATACATTGGGGACCAAAACGTGCATTCGTCCTTTAAATTAATATATCTCAATTCAACTTCTAACATTTACAATACACAACAACATTTGGATTGCTGGACACATACTTCCTAGCCACTTATCCAGGTGACGGTTGGAGTAGTTCCGGAAAGTCAACTATTCTGGAAATTAGATCAGTTTGTTGATGAAAGGGGTGCTTGGAAATGGAATTTGTTTGCGAATCTCTTACCAGCGACTATTCTACTTAAGATTTCAGCCATTAAACCGCCTGATCTTCGGAGTGGGGTTGATGAGCGTTATTGTGCGTTCTCTGAGAATGGAAGGTTCACAACGAAAGTAGGCATACAATGCTATTCGAGCCCTTTGCAGAGTAATAATCTACGACTTTGCAAACTAATATGGCGGTGGGCTGGTCCCCGGCGGGTCCGTCAATTCCTCTAGCTGGCAGCTCAGGAGCGGCTACTTACCAATTCTGAGCGCCATCACCGCCATATATCTGGAACGAATACCTGTGAAGTCTGTCGAAATGGTGTGGAGACGACGATTCATGTGCTGCGTGATTGGAACTTACTAGCTTTTGGTGGCGGTTAGTTCCTTTCAAGTTTCGTGCGGAATTTTTCAGTTTGAGTTCACAGATTGGCTAACAAAGAATCTGGCGGCTGAGTTTGATGCTGACAGGGAGAATTGGCGATGCTTGTTTGGGATTTTAGTGCGGCGAATTTGGTTGTGGCGGAATGCATGAGTATTTAAAGGGAATCGTAAACCTTTAGATCAACAACTCTCTGAAGTTGAATCATTTGTTAATTGTGTCAATTCAACCATGCAGTGTGACCGAAAGCTTGGATACTCAGGTCGATCGAGGGAGGTTATGTGGTTGAGATGGTTACCCCCACCGGATGATTTTGTAAAGCTCAATACTGATGGCTCCTTTAATGCAATCAATGGAATGGCGAGCATGGGGGGTTTTCTGAGAGATCATTTGGGACATTGTTGGGGTGGATTCTTGATGAATATTGGTTTCTGTTCGATCACTGGCGCCGAGTTGTGGGGCTTATTTTATGGTTTGACTCTAGCCTGGGAGCTAGGGCTGAAACATGTTACAGCTGAGGTGGACAACCAAAGTGTGGTGAAGATGGTGGAAGGCGAGGAGGATATTTTGGGGTTACATCGAGGATTAGTCTTGGCAATTCGGGATCTGTTCCAGAGGTCGTGGTATGTTGAGTTGGAACATATATACCAAGAGTTGAATTTTACTGCGGATTCCCTTGCATGTCTTGCATCTACTAGCCCTGGAGGTTTGTTGCAGTTGGATGATCCGCCGGATGTTGTGAAACCCTGGTTGCTTCATGATATAGTTGGTATCTCGTACCAACGTTCTGTATTGAATTAGTTTTCAGGCTTTGCCTCCTTTATTTGTACCAAAAAAAAAACGTTTATATTTCTTCTAGGAAAACAGTATTTCATAGGTCCCAAAATTATTGCCTAGTTTGGATTTTTACTTTTAGTATAATTTGAACTAAAAATAAAAAGAAATTCAAACTGAACAATAATTTTGGGGCGAAGGGAGTATTACATTTATGTAGTTTATAAGTTACTATAATTAAACCCTAGTTGACATAGTATAGGTAGGTAGTGATTTTTTTAAATAAAAACTATATTATATTCTTTTAGTAGAAATCGTTCAACAACAATGGATAATGGTTATATTATAACGAGTAATGATATTCTTCTCTACAAATATAATTATACTCATAACTCTATTTACAAGTCTATCTAGTTGGCATACCTCATCATTTTCCTAATTATTATTTCTTCTTTTTAATAAAAAGAAAATCATTTTAAGAGAAATTTTATCATTTTCTTTTTCTCTTCGGTTCTATTTTTTTTCCCCTTTCACCATTGTAAATAGGGAGTTCCTCTTCATGAGATGTCTTCCTCATAAAAATTCCCAAAATTCTGAGAACTATCACAGTTGTGATTCACCCCAAATATCAAATTAATTGAAGCGATGCAAAATAAACTTGTGGTTTTATTGCTATTATGAGGATCTCTCGGAAATGGTTTCAGTCTTGTTTCTAAATCAAATCCTGCCATTGTTAGGGTTCCTTATCAAATCTCCTATCTCCTAATATGGGAGTAATTAACTAATTTACTAAGCAAAAATTATTGGAAGCCACAATGTGAGATACAAGAATTCCTTTTTCAATTGGTGGAACCTGAATTTTGTTTTTTTAGGTTGGTTCTGGAGGCTGTATCCAGTGCACCCGGGTGCACCGTATACCCCCCACCAAACACACGTGCACCACGCGCTCAACTGTTTTTACTTTTACATTAAATGCACACAGAAGTTATTTTCATCCATTTCATCCTCACGCATAAACACACACAAACACACAGTCGACGGAAACTCTCTATTTTAGGGCAAATACAAATTGACCATCACCACAAAATTACACAAAATCGACGGAAAACCTACTCTGGAAGACGATTTTGATAACTGCATCTTCTCCTCCGTTTTTTCCTTTTGTCAGTTTGTTCTTTCACAAACCCCCACACACACACAGACGACGGCAAGAAACCCTACGTCCAGCCATCTCAAGCTCTCCTTCATCGATACATGCTTCACTGGTAAGTATATTACTCCGAGATCCTATTTTTTTTTATTATCCAACAATATCTTCTGTGTATCCACTAGATCTGAACTATTTATCCATGGTTTCCTGCGTATGCTATGTGATCGTTATCCATGCCATAATCTCTGCTTATCCATCTATATCATACTGACATTTGTTATCCGTCTATTTCATTCTGGTTATCCACAAGTTGTAGAGTGGTTATCCAGAAGTTGTAAAGTGGTTATCCACAAGTTCTAAACTGGTTATCCATGGTTTTTTTACATTTTATTCTATGTGACATGTTTTTGTGTTTTTTTTGTTACTTGTTTAGGGTTTAGGGTTTAGGGGTGCTTGTCCAAACTTTGTTTCTGGTTATCCACCCATTTTAACTTGGTTATCCGCATGGTATAAACTGGTTATCCATTGTTTTTTTTAGATGTGCTTTTATGTCGCTTCGTCCGTACATTATTTGCTGGTTATCCACCCATTTCATACTTGTTATCCACAAGTGGTAAACTGGTTATCCACAAGTTGTAAACTTGTTATCCATGGTTTTTTTACATTTGATTTTATGTGGCATGGACAAACTGAACTGGTTATCCACTATATATCTGAAATGGTTATCCAAGTTTTCCTGCATGTGTGGTATTGGGTGCTTGTCCAAACTTTGTTTCTGGTTATCCACCCATTTTAACTTGGTTATCCGCTGTGTAAACTTGTTGTCCATTGTTTTTTTTAGATGTGCTTTTTATCTGGCTACATGTACATACATTATTTGCTGGTTATCCACCCATTTCATACTGGTTACTCCTTTTCTGATTACTACTCCTTTTCATATCCTGCTATTTTTTCCACTGACTTCTTTCTGATTGTGCAATGCCAACAGTGCCCTAAAGGAGGCTATAACAAAATATAGGCACGAGTGGATCAGCGCAAGCCACGACCTCCACTGCAACCTAGACAGATCACCGGATCCTGAACCAGAGAAAATAATGGAGCTCCCTGAAGGAACACTGACCATATATAAAAAACAAAAATCAACCCAAGAAGAATAGTCCCCTGTACAAACTCCAAGGCCCTAAAACTTGTGGAGAAAACCAAAGAGGAAGAAGAGCACACCGACAGGAAATCCAAAGCAACTTGTGGTTGCTGATGACAACGATGATAAAAAGCCCAAAAATAAAAGAACGAAACCTGAGAACAACAAACTGATAATTGGTCCACGGCCAATCAGTTCTGAAGATTCCGTCAAGAAATTTGAGACAAGGATGACACTAAACCATCTCTTCCAACTCATCTCTGAAATCAATAAACCAACAGATCTTACAAAAGAGCTAGATGCAGTAGATTATCGTTAACTACAAAGGCAAGCTATCAGAGATATGGGATTTGGCGCCTTGCTGGATCTCAAAATAAAAAATATTCCAATAGCCTTGTGTAATTTTCTGGCAAGCAATTTCCAGACCGGTGCAAGACAAGTCCCATTGAATGGGAACAATGTACTGGATATCAAATGGGAAGATGTTGTTGCTGTACTTGATCTTCCTCGTGGACCCAAACCAGTGGAAGAATTCAAACAGAATGATCCCGCTATAACGGACCACGCTGAGATGGTGGATGCGTTCAAGAAAAGAATGGGATACAGTAATAAATTCCTGCCAACGAGATCCACCGCGGCACAATTAATTACTGGTCGAAAAGATTTTGGTGATGACTTCAAACGAGATTCCCTCGTCTTCGTTGTGAGCACATTCCTACATGGAAACACCACTTCCAGGATCACAATGAAAATCCTGAAGTCCCTCGTGAACATCAATGAAGTGACACAATACAATTGGTGTCAATATGTGATTGATGCACTGGTGAAAGGATGCAAAAGTCACCACGATGGGAAACCATTCACTTTTTTCCTGGTACTTACCATATCCGTACAAATTTTACTAGTTATCCATATTGCTTGCAATGTTTATCCAATTTGCTTGTACTTGTCTGATGTGGTTGTACTTGTCATCCAACTAATTTGTACTGCTTATCCAACCCCTTTTTTTCCCTTTAAATGGTTATCCATTGTGTTCCTGCCGGTTATCCAGCCTATTTGAACTCATTATCCACTTCATTTGAACTGGTTATCCAATCTGTCTAATTTGTACTGCTTGTACTGATATCATTAACACCAACTTTTTATTTCTTTTTTTTTTGTTAGTTGTGATACCTTGACAGGTGTGAGTATGAGATAGCACATCCGAGGTCATTCCCTGTGATCAAATCTTGGGATCAAAAGATGCTGGACGACAGAATAAGACTTCAGGGAAGCAATTTCATAGATGTCCAGACACTTGAACGTCTCAAGAAACCGTCCTCAGCAGCATCCCGAGATGAATAACCAGAGGCTGAATCACAGGAGGATACACAGGAAAACCCCAACACACAGTAAGTCTATGTACTGTTCTACCATTTTTTTCAGATCAAACTTACGTATCCAACCTAGCATCTCCACATTCCACTAACTACATTCAATTTTGCAGGACCTTGCTGCTCTTTATGAAAAATTCTATCAATTGATTATCACGATGAGCAAAACTGTTTTAGACATTCGCGAGAAGAAAATGGAGTTAAAAATTGAACCGGATGAACAAGCAAAGCAAACAATCAAGATCCTAACAGATGCAATGGTGTCGATGAGTAGAAAGATGCCTCCGCCTTCAGGTACAACGCAACAGGAACAAGAATAGCAGCAACACCAGCAAGACCTCCAGGATGCACAGATTTGTGAATTGTGCGAGATAGCATGGAAGTCCGCTGAAAGCAGATTTGCAACAATCATAGAACAGCTGCAACGACAAGTAGCTGAGGGAAGGAAGAACCAACAAGAACAACAACAACACCAACAAACTGATGACAACACTGTACAAGCTCCAATTAATCCCGCAAATTTTCAAGACATTGAAATTGACAAAGCACAGGGACTGGAGCAATTGAGCCAGACAAATGATGAGGCTTCTCTTGCGGTGGGGAAATCTCTACCTACTTCAAAAGAAGTGGTGGTTGATGAACAACAAACTCAACTCAAGGGGCACAGGGACTGGATCAATTAAGCCAGACAAATGATGAGAATTCTCTTCCAGTGGGGAAATCCGTGCCTACTTCAAAAGAAGTGCTGGTTGATGAACAACAAACTCAACCACAAGGTAATGAAACAAATACTTGTCTGATGTGATTGTACTTGTCATCCAACTAATTTGTACTGCTTATCCAACCCCTTTTTATCCCTTTAGATTGTTATGCATTGTGTTCCTGCTGATTATCCATCCTATTTGAACTGATTATCCACTTTATTTGAACTGGTTATCCAATCTGTCTAATTTGTACTGCTATCCAACCCCTTTTTTTTCCTTTAGATGGTTATGCATCATGTTCCTGCTGATTATCCATCCTATTTGAACTGATTATCCACTTCATTTGAACTGGTTATCCAATCTGTCTAATATATATGTATCTTCGTATTGATTATCCAACATTTCAACTTTGTACTGCAGAACATGCAACGAATGTCTCCACGACAGAAAAGAAGAGATCCCATCAAGATTCCACCGGCCGGGATTCAGGTGTGACATCCACCTATATCAAAAGGTCGAGAAGCACTGGTACCAGGAAAAGGAAAGCATTCAAAGACGCAACTATCCCAAGCTTTAACCTGGGTATCTTCTCCAGTCAGGAAGACAGTTACGAGACAACCCAGGAGAAGAACACTCAGGAAGATGTCACAGTAAGTGTTGATTTGGATAAAGATGTGAATGAGACTATAGAAGCAGAAGAATATCCAGTACCATCTGCTCTCGACGAAACAAAGAATCCCAGTCCTTCCATCGATGAAATCATAAGAAAGGCCAGTGCACCAGCTTCAGAATCATTGAGTGATACCAAAAAACTAGAGATCATTGTGGCTGTTGCAGAACAAGTTGAGAAAAACCCAAAGGTGGTTAAAGCAGTCCCTTTAAGCATAATTCCACCCGATTGGAATGTTGCTTCTACCATGGGTGGTCTACTCATGCTGGACAAAAATGAGTGTACCACGCCACAGCCTGCAATCTGAAAAAAAGCTGAAGTACTTGATGAAGGGTTAACAAAGATAGTGGAAAAGTAAGTTTGATCCACTGTGAATGCTCACTACAAAATAGAAAGACGAATTTACATACTAACTCTCTATTGTTTTGTCCTAGGATCCTCAATCAAAAACCTAGGAGGAGAAATCCACCAAGAGTCCACCGGTTGCCTGAACGGTTTAAGTCACCGTTCATGCTGCAGAAGAAAAACAAGAAAAATTCATACAGTTGACAGAGGAGAAGAAGAAAATGACCCAAGAAGAAGCCCTGTTGATAGACTTCGCTCTCTTGCAGAGACAAGAAGAAATAATTAAATCAGGGTAAAAGCCACCATCTTTACCTGTGGGATAAAAACTTACCAGTTTTCCAACTATTTGTCTATTTGACTACTTTTTCTATACAGGAATTTCTTGTTTGAATTTGGAAAAATTGTTTGGGTAGACAGGACAGCATTCTATTCCATGAGGGAAGGGACATGGATAGAAAACAGCATCATAGATGCTTGGGCTGTCATCCTAAACAAAGAAGAAGCTAAAAGTGACTCCCCAAGTCGGATATTCTTTGGTGTTTCCGCATTTGTAAGTCAACTAAACCCTTATTGTTTATCCCGTCCTGGTAAAATACTTGTCACATGTCTGCAAGTTGTTTATCCAAAGGCTTTCTACTAGTTATCCAGCCATAATTGCTAGTTATCCACATTCTGTAAACTAGTTATCCATGCCTTTTTTTAGTTGTGCTTCTATGCGGCTGCTTGTCCATACATTATTTTGCTTGTTATCCATCATTGTTGTATAACTTACCTACCTATAAGTAATCACCAGGAAGATCATGCATGACCACTAACACTTATTATCCAATTTTTTACTAATGCTTGTCCATCAGAGTTCAACTGGTTATCCATTCATTCTTGTTTGTCATCTAGGGTACTTTTGGTTCATCTTGTGTGTGCTTGATTCCGATCATTATTTTCTACTGCATTTTCCAACCATTGTACTGATCATTGTATCATTTTCTAACCACCTCAAACAATAACGTAGGATACAATCAGTCGATACAACCAACCGGGCAGTAACAAAGAAGAATTAGAGTTTACATTCTATGAGAGGTTGGCTCTTGAACTAGAAGAACAAGGCCTCAATGTAGGATCCCTGATAGTGGCAAAAGCTGTAAGCAACATCTTTCACCTCCTTCACTCTTTCTATAACTGGCTGTTAAAAAATTTTCATATAATTTCCCCCTTCAATGTGAAAAATCAGATCTACTTCCCAGTACACAACCGAGAGCATTACTTCTTGTATGTGTTGCTGGTTCAAGAAAAGAAAGTACTTGCATTCAACAATCTTCATGCAAAAGATCTGGACTACTACAAGCCAACAAAAGATCTACTTGTGAGTGAAAAAAAGATACAAAATGATTGTCATACTTTAAGAATTATCCATTGCATTTTGCTGATCCTTGGATTTTATGGCATCACAGTTTCGGTTCTTCAAAATGTACCTTCAATGCGTGTTTCCACACATAGGACTGGTCATTGCTCAGTACACATTGACAGAGGTTACGCTACCATCACACAACGACAAAAAGCCGAATGCGAAAGATTGTGGAATATTCACAATGCACCACATGGAGCAGTATGATGGTGGTGACTACGATGACGGTACTACTTTGGATTTCCATACAGGAAACATCAAAGAGTGCGGTGGAGATACATGTTAAAAATCCTTATGCACCTATCCAACAAAAATAAGGACAAAATCCTCGAAGTAATGCACCAGTTCTACACAAATACTGCTGAAGAAGAACCAAAAGAAATTCCAGATCATGTTGATTTGAGCAGCAAATCTTACTACAATGACAGAAAAATTCAGGGATGGGTTAAATGAACTGTCATTATGTTGTCTTGTATAATTGATTGACTGTTGTAGTCCGGATCATTTTGTAATGGTTATCCAGGATTTTTCTACTAGTTATCTAGCTTCAATATTTCTTTGCTGATTATCCAATACTCTGAATTGATTATCCAGGACTTTTGTACTGGTTATCCAGCCAATGTGCAGCAATATCCAACCGTTTGTAGTGGTTATCCATGATCATTGTACCAGTTATCCATCTTGTTAAACCTGATTATCTGAATATTTTATAGTGATTATCCAGTAAAAAAAAATGCAAGTACAGTCTTTAACCTGATTATACATGAGATTATACTTGTTATCCAAAACCTCAATACTGCTTATCCATATGTAACGAATGTTTTATAGTGATTATCCAATAAAAAAAATGCAAGTACAGTCTTTAACCTGATTATCCATGAGATTATACATGTTATCCAAAACCTCAATACTGCAATCCAAACGGCATATTCATTGGGGGGCTCGCCCTCCATGATAATCTAAATGACTCCCGCGGCTACCGGAATCGCAGGTCACCAACCTGCCTCGGCTGCACCGCCCTGCCGAACACGCCAATGTAGCTAAGGTAATCTTTTTTTCGTGTGTGTGTAAGGAGAGTGTATTATTGCGTTAGGAGGGGACACAAATTAATTGTATAAATCTCCCCGTGATAATAAACTAAACGACCTGGCTGTGCCGGTGCCCGCGGTTGCGCCGCCCACATGCTGAACAAGGCAAATTTCATAAACAGTGTTTAAAAAGAATGAGGGGAAGTTTGCCAAATGATGGAGAACAAAAAATGAATGAGGGGCAGGCCGTCTGACTTAACTCGCGGGCAAAACCTGACCCGGGAACGCGACCCGCTTCAGAATCCCGCCCAAATTCTGGAAAACCTGCCCCATTAGTGCGCACGTTTTCCAAACGGCGGCCGGGCAATCATAGTAATAATTATCCCTTAGAATCCTCCGCCTGAAAACGTCATTCAATCATAATTGAGTGTGTGGGATAATGTACCATTCCTTCAACCATTCACCTACTCTCTCCCTTTTTTATGGGTATAAAATTTGCTTTGTTTTTATTCATTATGAAAAAATGCTGGTTATCCCTAGTGGTTATCCACAGTAAAATTCACTTTTTTTTTATTCTTTGCTGATTATCCAATGCTCTGAATTGATTATCCAGGACATTTGTACTGGTTATCCAGCCAGTTATGTAACTCATTTAAGGATAATCAATACTGGTTATCCACTATGTCCAGACTGGTTATCCACAGTGTGGAACATGTTACTATGTATAACTGAAAACCAGACGTTTTGTAAATAAATAGAATTTAAAAGATTGAAGAAGTATAAATAGAAAAAGAAAACTGAAGATGCTCATGTTTGTGCAGAGTACATCCACCATGATCTAATGGGTAGTTACAGAGCCACACGTTTTTACATGTAATGGATTGAATAAGGAGGATCAGTTACATAACTGTCATTAAATGAGTTTCTTGATTATAACAATGACGGTTAATGAATAGAGAGTGAAAAGACACTGATTTGTGAAAAAACATAGGAATGGATGGGTAGTTAATCCGTCAAACTACCTCTCTATAAACTACCTCATCTTCACATACAATATTTCTATACAACTCCCTGACATCTCCACATAGAGCATTTCTATAAAACTCCTTCATCTACACATATCGCAGAATGCCTGATTTGAGCATCCAACAACCAGAAAAAAAATGAAAAACGAAAAAATTTCCTCAAATTCCACCACCAAACAAATGTCCCCCAGCTATTATGAGTATATCCATCACGATATGCTTGATAATATGTTCATTAATCTGTCATTGGAAAAGATTGGGGAGTTCCGTCGTGTCAGCCAAGCTTGGGAAGAAATGACGAAAAGACAGGAATTTGTTCTTAGAAAACGTGAGATGAGCTACCCTGCAAGTGAAAACAACATCCTTGTTTTCACTCAAACAAGCCAAGAAGATCACCTGTTGCAAGACAAACTAATTGCCACCAACATAAAAGTGCAAATGGATAACCCATGCAACCACATACGATTGCAAGAAGAAATGTCGATGGGTGACGACGGCATCCATAAACTCATGCCTATCACCACAGATTTGGTCTGTCTGCAAACCAGCTCTCAAATCAAATTCTTGAACCCAAAGACAACACAACTTGCAACAATTGAATGGCCATATGATGTCCTTCTCAGCAATTGTGAAACAGCATTTGGGTACGTATCATCCTCAAAAACTTACGTTTTCATGGCCCTTATTGCCGATGGAAAAAGCATGCAAGGCTGCATTTTTTCTTTTCAAAGTTGTTCAAGTATTGATAGAGGGGAATGGAAAACACTTTGCAATGTATGTCCTCGCCTTGTATCTGATGGAACCTGGTTTGATAGATTCGTGTACTGGCGTGTAAACAAACTATCCTCTGAAATAGCAACACCTCAAGAGTTGCTGGTTGTGTTTGACTACCACACTCAACAATTCCAAACCATAAACTGCCCTTCATCTCCAAACTTCTTTAACCCCACTTATCCTACTCATATGAATCTCCAAGTGAAAATATTGGACTTCCAGGGGACTGTGTGTAATAGATGAGTACGAGATTACTCAGAATCATCACTGTGAGATGTGGGCATGGGATCCAGATACTTCCACATGGGATTGCATATTTGAGACCCGTGAATTCCCAAATGTGAACACACACGTTCCACAGGGATTACATTTCCGTCATGATTAGCTTTATCCAGTGTTTCTAAGCAACAAATCATCTCCAGCAGGACAATTCATTCTCAAAGGATACGATAATCGACATTTGCTGTTGTATAGTGTTCCTACCAGGAAAATCACACACTCAAGTACATCGCCGGATCTAGAAACCAGTTTCATCATTAGAGCATGTTACTTCTGGGAGACATTAACACACTTTTAGGAATTTGTACTGGTTATCCAGATTATCTATGCTGGTTATCCAATGATATTACTGGTTATCCTAGGACATTGTACTAATTATCCAGATTATCTATGCTGGTTATCCTCTCTGGCAGCTTCCCTTCGGTTAGGAAATAAGAACCCACCAAAGTTTTGATTCAATGTATTTTGGTTTTTCCAAATATTTATGTAAATTGCCAAACAACAAAAATTGAGTGTCCCAATTTCTTGGTCTTTCTACTTCTTTATTAAACTGCTTATCCTATGATGTTATCCTGCTTATTAAATATTTCTTTGCTGATTATCCAACGCTCTGAATTGGTTATCCAGGACTTTTGTACTGGTTATCCAGCCAATGATAGCAATATCCAACCGTTTGTAGTGGTTATCCATGATCATGATACCAGTAAAAAAAAATGCAAGTACAGTCTTTAACCTGATTATCCATGAGATTATACTTGTTATCCAAAACCTCAATACTGTTTATCCATATTCTGGTTATCCATGTTATCTATGCTGGTTATCCAATGATATTAGTTATGAAGAAACTGTGTTCAACGTGTTCATGTCTTTTTTTGTAATATCTACGTGCATTTAAAGTTGCATATCCGGTACAGGTGAGTTGGATATCCAGTACAAACGAAATGAATATCCACTACAAACAAGTTCGATAGGCATACAAACCAAATGGGTGGATATCCAGTACAAACAAAATGGATAGCCAGTTCAAGCTGGTTGTATAATACTGCAATTTAAAATAAATAATACTTTTTAAATAAAAATCTTTACACCATCAATACTGTTCATTTCAACATCAAGTTTAAATACTAATAAAACATCTTGTTGAAGAAACGCTGCGCTCCAGCCTCCCTGGCAGCTTCCCTTTGGTTAGGAAATGAGAACCCACCAAAGTTTTGATTCATGAATGTCATGTTTGATGAGAAGGATTTACAGCAGTGGAAGTGCTTGCGCCTTAAAACTCCTGGCCAGCTCCCTTGGGAATTGGAAATGAGAATCCACCGAAATTTTGGTTGATGAACGGCATGCTTTGATCAGAAGCATTCACACAAGTGGAAGCGCCTGCCCATGAAAAATCCTGGGCAGCTACGCTTGGATTAGCAAATGAGAATCCACCAGAATTTACGTTCAAAGATGGCATGCTTTGATGGGAAGCATTCACACCAACAAAACTTCCTGAGCCTGAATAATCTTGAGCAGCTCCCTTTGGATAAGGAAATGGCATGCTTTGATAATGCAGGTTTGATGTAACTGAAGCTCTTGTTCGGTCAGCAGCAATTCTTGCATTTGTTTTCCTGCCTCTGACTTTGTTACATGCCTTCTCAACAATGCTTTTAGGACGTTCGTTCCTGGGACCAAACTTCTTCCTCTTTACAGCCGGATTCTTTATAACACCATCATTGTCTACAGACTCATCATTATTATTTGAACCAATGAAACTGCCGAGTGCTTCTTTAAGCCTGTCAACCGCCTCGTCACAACATTTCTTTGCATCTTTGTTATATTCACTTGCATACACCAAGTCTGAAAATCGTCTCATAATTAGTGCCTTCCACAGCAATGGCCCAGCAGCTTTTCCATCTCCCTCATTAGCTATGCTTGACCTGGCACCATAACCTTTTGTCCATCTCATACATATATAATCTTTAGGAAACTCATCAACAGAGGTTACGTGACAGATTCGAAGAATGTGGCAACAAAGCATGCCCACCTCAGAGTAGTACCTGCACGTGCATGAGAATCTCTGTAACCTAGTGTCATATACAACCACATGCTTAAAGTGCTCTATCCCAAACCGCCAAACATTATACGTCACAATATTGCCATCATTTGAGACCTCTAACTGCTCCTGCCTGCATAACATCCCATCTTTGTGCAACTGTTGAACCTCCCGGAATGCTTCAACTGTGTACACTCTGCGAATGCTCTCCAGAAAGGGTCACCAGGAAGATATGAATCGATGTTTCCCGGCTACAGCGTAGATCTTCACCCCTCACAGCTACCCGCCAACAGTGTACAACATTAGAGAAAATTTCATGGAAATCACAAAACGATGATGTGGCCTTCATTTTACGACAAATTGCATTATTTGTTGACTCGCTCCTCTGTGAAGACAAGGTACCACCAGAAAAAAAATCTTTGCTAAATGCAGGGCACCACATATACCTCACATCATAAATACCATTGAGCCATTTGTCATCATGACAATCATACTCATCCAATAATCTGTGCACAACAATATAAAACACATGCATAAAAAGAAAAATAGTTAGATTATCCATATAGTTATCCAGCCAACAAAGCCTTTCCACTAGTTATCCAGCCATAACGGGTGGTTATCCAGAGATAATTGCTGGTTATCCACAATGTGTAAAATAGTTATCCAAAATGGCTAAAAACTAGTTATCCAGTCATAATTGTTGGTTATCTAGAATCTGTAAACTAGTCATCCGACCATTATGGATGGTTATCCACAATCTGTAAACTAGTTATCCGTGCCCTTTTTTAGTTGTGCTTATATGCGGCTACTTGTCCATACATTATTTTGCTGGTTATCCATCATAGTTGTAGAACGTACCTACCTATAAGTAATCATCAAGAAGCTCATGCATGACCACTAACACATACCCACACAACAACAAAAAATAAGAGACACTCTTAATCATGGAAATGATCAAAATAATAATAAAAATATTGTCAAACTGACCTCCTCCATAATACATCAAACTCGATTTCTGTTGAAATGTATTTCATCAGATAATTAAAGTTCTTAACAAAATCTGGCTTGTTCCTTAAATGACCAATTGTCTTTCTTGAATTTTCACCTATGTGCCATATACAGAGACGATGCCGAGAACTTGGAAAACATGTCCGAATACTTGCAGCAATGGAAGGTGCTTGATCTGTCATTATGGTTTGTGGTTGCTTATCTCCCATTGATTTCAAAAACTGCTTGAACAACCAATCAAAAGAGGGTTCTTTCTCGTTTAACACAAAACCACAACCAAACATGACATTCTTGTTATGATTATCCATACCCACAAACGGAGCACAGATCATTCCATATCTGTTTGTTCGATACGTTGTATCAAACACAAGCAAGTCACCAAACAAATCATAATCCTTTCGCATTCTGCCATCCCTCCAGAAGAAAATACACAGCCTACCCTGCTCATCACAGTCAAAATCAAAGAAGAAATCTTCTTCAGTTTCCTTCCTGTCCCAAAAAATCTTCATGAGCTGATTAAAATCGCCACCTCCAAATCCAACACCAGGACGCTCATAATTGTAGGCATCTCTCAAAGCATACTTCATGTTCGGACTTCTCCCGTGTAATTTTTCCACAAACTTATATGAATCAACCAAAGGGATGCCACTCCTTGTCATGTCTCTGATTATCTTCATATCATTTTCATCTACTTCACGTTGAGATCGAAGAAGTCCAATTATTTCATTCGGCACAAGATCATGATTGTGATCAACCAGATACTTTGTACAGGTCCACAAGCCATCTTTGTCAACAGTAAAATGGATATAAGCTGGACACCCACACTGAAAATTAATCCTCTCATGGCACACATCACCATTTCCACTGGATCTCTTGTATCCTTCGCGGTTACAACAGAACTTCTTCATCCTAACTTTATCAGTCTTACCTCTAAACTTCTATTTTCCCACTCTCACACTAAAATCAATCAATCGGGCATGATCATTATAATATTCATAAGCTTCTTTCTCACTTCTTGCCGTCTTACCAACTAAAGTAAAAACAGCCAAATCATTATTCTTCGTCACAGATGAAATTTCCTTGTGCAACGCATCCTCCTCTACCATCACATTATCAACTCCCAATTCATTGCCGCTATTATCTTCTCCACATTCTAAGAAAAACAAAAGAGATGGTTGGATAACCATTACCATGCAGTCGGATAATCAGTATTAACACAATGGATAAACAAATCAGAAAAAAATTTAAACACATATAAACAAGTTAGAAAACCTACCCTTCAGAGCAGATGTAACTTCCATGCGCAAAGCATCATCCAGCATCACATCATCCCCCAACTCATTGATATGCTCTTTTACAAAAAATGAGATAAATAGAAAAACAAAAAATTTTTAAAAAAATCTTTGATACAAAAATTATATATAAAGAACTCAAAAATGTTGGATATCCAGTACAAATCAGTTAGATATCCAGCAAATAAAATTTGGATACGCATGTAAATCAGTTGGATAACCAGTACATATAAACTGGATATCCAGCACAAACAAAGTGGATATCCAGTAAACATTTTGGATATCCAACACAGCATAACTGCTTATCCACTTCATACAATATTATCAAAAATAGAACTGTGAAAAAACTAGATTGATTATTCTCTCACAAACAGTACACTCCGAACTGTGAAAAAACACCAATTCAATATAAACAACTCAAAAATGTTGGATATCCAGCAAATAAAATTTGGATACGCATGTAAATTAGTTGGATAACCAGTACACATAAGCTGGATATCCAGCACAAATAAAGTGGATATCCAGTACAAACATTTTGGATATCCAGTACAAACATTTTGGATATCCAACACAGCATAACTGCTTATCCACTTCATATTAACAAAACAGAACTGTGAAAAAAACTTGATTGATTACCTGATTCCAGCTGATCTACAACAGAACTGTCACCTTGCGTTGATTTGCTGGCACAGTAAGATTGTTCGATGGATTTTCTACCACTACATTCCGCATTCATCAAGCCGGAATCATCAATGACATAACTCATCACTCGATCTGAACTAAGCATATCGTCGATCCAATCACCGTTTTGCCACTCTGGTGGAATCGGAACCTTTCCTCGATCGCTGAATGCCGTCGACGTCTCAAAGACTCGATCGCCGCCGGCCGTGTCCATCTCAACGCCTCGATCGCCGACTCCCATTGCTGCCTCAACGCCTCGATCGCCGCCGACCATCGCCCATCAATAATACTCTATCACAAAGTTTTACAAATTTGAATGAATTCGGTTATTTATATAACCCTACGTTTCAAAAAAAAAGAAAAAGAAAAAGAAAGCTGAATTATAATGACAGACTAACGCTATTGTAAGAGAGTGAGGTACACGCGCATGGGGGGACACCGTACCCCCGGGTGTACCAGATAATTTGCCTGGTTCTGCTACACAGTGGTGATATGGGGGAAGTGGATGAACCTTGAAAGTTTCGATTGAAACTGGAGTCTATTTTTTACTAAAAAGAAAAAATAATAGATTATATTTTTTTAATGAAAAGAAAAAATATAATTTAGATTGAAGTTTGAGGATTTCTGCGACACAGTAGTGAAAGTTGAGGTGGATGAAACTTGAAAGTTTCGACTGAAATTTGATTCTATTTTTTAATAAAAATAAAAAAGTCGATTTTATTTTTAATGAAAAGAAAAAATAATAATTAGGAAGGTGACGTGGAATGCCAACTAGATAAACATGTAAGTAGAGTTATTAGTAGAGTTATATTTGTGGAGAAGAGTTATATTTGTATAGAAGAATATTGTTACTCTATTATAACCCTAGTAACATAGTATAGGTAGGTTGTGATTGGGGTATAACCAAGTTGGTTGCCAGCCGAAGTCTTTAACACCTTGAGTCGTGTGTACTTAGGATTTCAAAACTGTAAAACCCTCCCCCTAAAGCAGAAAATTATGCAATAAGTATCAGATTAGTGAAGCTATTGTTAACATAAAGCATATTGTATTTCAGTAGAGACACAAAGAAAGGTTGAAATTTAATGGAAAATAAAAAGGAACGTAGAAAGATGTCCCTTTTCATACCCGAAGAATTGTGGTTCAAGATCCTCCAGAGATTATCTCTGAGGCCCCTTTTTCGATTCAAGATCGTATGCAAATCATGGTACTCTCACATCACTAGCCCTCAATTCACTTCCAAATCGCTCCACACAACTGATGATGATGCCCGAAAGAAGAAAATCCAGATTCTTCTTGGGACACCCACCATCACCAAATCATTATTCGAAATAGAACAGAGTGCGTTCATATGTGATGGTGACGATTTTAATTTTTCAAAGATTGAAGGTCCATTTAGTTCTCCAAAAACAGTAATCGGCTGCGCTAATGGGTTAATTTGCCTCCATGATGATGATAGGTATTGTTGCCGCCCCGACCCTGTTATAATACTATGGAATCCAATCGTCAAGAAATCCCTGTTTGTTAATCCACCCTCAGTTTCAAGTGCTTGGTCCAGTAATTTCCGGGCTTCATTTGGGTTTGGATTTGATCAGATTGATAATGATTACAAGTTGGTAAGGATCATGTCTAACGGCGGCTCGGTTGCTCTGTATACTTTAAGCACCGGCGAGTGGCAGGGGATAAGGCATCCGGCTCCGGCAAGTTTTCGTATAAAAGGGCCTTGTGCTTTTTTTCACAGGGCATTTCACTGGGTTGCATTTGTTCCTGGAGGTAAGCATGGAGTTTTGTTATTTGATTTGTCTAATCATGAATTTCAGGTGATGATATTGCCAGAAAAAATTCAGGGGCAGCATTTGATCGATAGAACTATGGATGTTCATAAGGGATCTCTTGCAATTTTTACGTTTGAACGCGACAGAACGGCTTGCAAGTTATCCATATGGGTCATGGAGATATATCGGGCCGAAGAATCCTGGACCAGGATGCACACCATTGATCTTGGTGACACATTTCTGCCACAGCTGGTAGGAATTGGAATGAACTCCAACTTTTTATTGCTGGATAATGATCAATTAGTCTCTCTGGATTTCAAGGGCCAGAAGCGATGCCGTTTGCAATCAATGAAGTGGTCATTTGTTAAGTTAGTTACCATGGAAGAGAGCCTAGTGTTGCTTGATTGGGGTCATCAAGTCTGCGACGCCGATGTTAACTGCAAGAGGTTACATTATGATTATTTTTCAGGTGGATACACTGGCATATTCAAGAAAAGTATAAGCAAGTAATCGAAAACGATCTAGCTAGTGTGTTTGCTTGTTTTCATACTTTATTGAAGCCATTTAGGATTATGTTTGCTTGTAGTTAATTAAGCAACCCGATGAGAACGAAATTTTCAGGGGACACTCAGGACTCAGAGTAGTACATTTTGACTTGGATTATGCATCCAGCATCCTCGAGTATCTTTCATATGATCCATCATTTCTTTTTTTGATTCAATATTTCCCGTTGTTCAATTTGTTGGCGTAAAGGGGGAGCAACACAGTATAACAAGAAAAGATCGAAGGAGTAGAGAAAAGCCTCCAAGACGGCTAGGCTTTCTTGCCATTCATTTACAACTTAGGGTTTGATTTATACACATTTTAACGGTGGTAAATCACCGTAAAGTATGGAAAATTAATTTACCTCTAGTAATTTTGGTAATTATATATTTACATCATATTTACTAAACCCTAATCCGTAATACCCCTCAAGTTGGCGCATGAAGATCGCGAATGCCCAACTTGCCAACGAAGTAATCAAACTGGGATTTTTCGACTGTCATTTTGTGAAAATATCAGCCAACTGAACACAGATAGGCACATAGCTCGGACATATAGTACCATTGGAGATTTCATTATACACAAAATGACAGTCTACTTCAATATGTTTTTTGCGTTCATAAAAAACCGGATTAGCAGCAATGTACAAAGCAGCTTGACTATCACAAAAGAGTCTTGCAGGCTGTGAATGAGAGACACTCGTAGATAGTAACAAACCCTTAAGCCACCTCAACTCATAGACAGTAGAAGCCATGGCATGATACTCAGATTCAACAGAAGAAGAGCAACCATTTGTTGTTTCTTGATATTCCAAGAGATAGGATACTGGCCTAACTGAACTAACCAACCCGTTAAAGAACGACTGGTAGTAAGAAAACTGGCCCAATCAATGTCACACTAGCCAGAAAGATGCAAATCACACGCGGCATTGAGAAAAAGGCCCTGACCAGGGTTTCCCTTCAAGTAACGAACAACACGCAATGCCGTATCCCAATGAGCTTGCATAGGTTTCTGCATGAACTGTGCAACCAACCAGACGCCTGTATCGTTCTGGTTCAGAGAGAGGCATAGTAGTGACGAGTGGAAGCTGATGATTCTGTTCAAGAGGAAAACTAGCTGGCTTAGTGCCTAATAGACCAACCTCAGAGATAATGTCCAAGGTGTACTTGCACTGACAGAGAAAAATACCAAAAGGGTTACGAGCCACTTCAATCCCCAGAGTATACTTCAAGACCCCAAGATCCTTCATATGAAAACAATGACTCAAGTAATCCTTGAAACGTTGGATAGCACCACCATCATTGCCAAAAATGATGAGATCATCCACGTAAACCAAGACATTGAGCTATAGAGTGTCACGATGCAGTGTAAAAAGAGAATAACTTGAATGAGATTGTCGGAAACCATACTGGCATAAAGGGGTAGCTAATTTGGTAAACCAACAGCGAGGAGTTTGATGTAGCCCATACAGAGACCGGCAAAACCGACTCACTTTGCCGGATTGGGAAGAGAGGAAACCATGAGGCAATTTCATGTAGACTTCTTTGGCAAGATCACCATGTAAAAAAGCATTATGAACATCCATTTGCAGCAAATAGCCTGCTTTTCAGGAGGGAGCGAGTCAATGGTCCAAGTATAATTTTGTTCTAGGGCATGGATTTCTTGCTGCATGGCAGTGCGCTAACAGACATCCTTCACAACCTCAACAAAAGTCCGAGGTTCAATTCCTGCAGTGATATTGGCCAGAAAAACACAATGTTGTAGAGAAAAAGAATCACAAGTGACATACTTATGTATAGGATAAAACGCACCTAAGGAGACGAGTGAAGCAGATGAGTGTGGAGAGGGGCTAGGTAAGGCAATAGTGTGAGACAAAAAACCAGTGAGACGAGCAGAGCAGAACTTGGACTGATGCCCACGACCTAGAATTTCTTCCTGTTGCCCAGTAGAAGAAGAGGCCTCCCTGTCCAGGGAAGTAGGTAGAAAACTAGGTGCATCCATAGAGATAGACTCAGAAATATTGGAACCGATGTAGAAATAGGAGGCTCAGAAAAATGAGGTACATCAGAAGGTGGTACCACATAATCGCTCGAAGAATCACCATCATCCAAGAAAACAGAATTATCAACCAAAAGAGGATTGCCATTAGAAGGAGGTGAAGAGGAGCAAGGAAACTTAGACTCAGAGAAAATGACGTCACAAGAAACAAAAAATTCACCAATTTCCAGATCATAAACCTTCCAACCCTTCCTCTTATATGGATAACACATTTACGACTCCTACCAGAGAATTTGTCACCTTTGTGCACCTCATTATGAGCATAACATAGGCATCCAAACACCCGTAGGTGAGAAAGAGAAAGTGATTTGCCATATAAAACTTCATACGGAGTTCGGCCATGGAGGACACTAGAGGGAGTATGATTGATTAAATAACCATCTGTTAAAACACATTCCCCCAAACTCAATAGGTAAGTGTGCTTGAAAACACAAAGCCCTAGCAACCTTCAGAATATGCCTATGCTTTCGTTCTACCTAGCCATTTTGTTGAGGAGTACCCACACAAGAAGTCTCATGAAAAATTCCATACTTAACAAAATAACCACACATGCACAGAAATACAGTACCATTGTCACTCAGAACAGTTTTAATACATTCACTAAATTGGCGCTCAAGCAAGGCAAAAAATTTACACAAGGTAGAAAAAACTCCTTTCTTATCAAAACAAAAATATCCACGTGACACGAGAAAAGACATCAACCACAGTTAAGAAATAACGAGCACCAGAAAAAGTAGGGATACGATAGGGTCCCCGCAAATCACAATGTATCAAATAAAAAATGACAAGAGTTTTAGTGGTACTAAGAGGAAAATTTTCCCTAGATTGTTTTGCTCGGAAACACACATCACAAGCCTTATTTGAAAAACCACTATTCTTGCGAGAACCAATAGAAGGAAGCAACTCGAGAACCTTAAGAGAAGGATGTCCCAGTCGCTGATGCCACAAATCAACAGAGGAGATCTCAGCAATCTGTAAACCGGCAGCAGTTTCAATAGCCTTAAAGAAGTACAACCCCTCTCGTTGCTCACCTGCTCCAATCTGTTGGAGTTATTTTCAATATATTGTAGGATACAAATAATAATTTGTGCCTATTATTGGTTTCCAATATATTGCAGGAACACAACTAATAAGTTGTGCCTATTGACTCCATATGAAAAGACATTAACGAAAAGTTACATCTATGACCATAACCAAGGGTTATGTCTAAACCTCAAGAGTTACCTAAACTCTATAAACCAGGATCATTTGGATGGTTTTAGTGAACAATGAAATCACCAAATACTTGGAATATTTCCAATGATATTTCTTATCCTTGTATTAGGTTGTTGGTTCACTAAAGTGCATAGTGAAACAACATGATCTCCATTTTCTCTCATAGGAAATTTGCCTAGATAATTGCACTATATAGTGTGCAAATTTAGCCTAAAGGAAAGCAAGTTTACTTGTGACTTGGAAACAAAACTTTCTTTTATCCTAACCATATATTCTTTCTTTTGTTCCTTGATCTAGTGCAGCCATTGTTGTCCACTATTCTTGAGGTAAAATTCTAACAATCTTTAGGCTAAATTTTATGTTAAGCAATGGCTAGTACTTTAAGAATCACGCAAGGATATTTTCGTTGCACACGAAAATAATGAAAGGGTTGCAAATCATTGGATTCAATGGAAAGGGTAATGATAGAATACAATGGACCTTGTCATCAAAGTAAGAAATATATTTTACTAGTGAATTGTGACATTCAAAGTTCATGGTATGTATTTATTTGATAAATAAATGAATACAGTGACATGATCTATACTCGAATATAACATGGTTATAAATTTATGAGCTTTTGCATATAAAAGAAATTTACTATGCTTAATATGTTGATTGCCCATGTGAGTGGTTTCCATCAACATAAAATGCTTAATTAATGTGATGATGAATTAAGAAAATATTTATCATAAAAGGTTTGATAGAGAATTTGGCCATGTGTTACCATGCTTGAAATGGAAATGCCAAAATTGGCATCTATGTGATGCAGCAATGAAGTGCTTTGATTGCATGTTATAAACTTTCTGTGAAGTAGTGTCAACCTTGTTATCAATAAAAGAATGTCGACAGAAAATTGGACATCTGCTGGAATTTATTATATGTTTTGTTTGGTATTGTCGACTTGTTTGTCCACTGAAGTAAAGTCGACATCCATCGAAGTATCTGGCTGTTTGGCCCTGTCAATTTAATCGTCACTTGGATAAAGTCGATAGAAAAGTCGATGACAGAAACTTAAGAAAAACCAAACAAAATAAAATAATAAATTCTTGTGTGTAGAATTTTTATGAGTGCATCACATATCATTTGTTTGAATTTGGGTAAATCAAATTTAAAATTTTGATTTCAAAAGAGCAAATGGTTGGTGTTTATGTGTTTGTTACATGATGAACATTTAATTACTTAAATGAATTTGCAATTTATATGATAATTTCATGTGATACATAGTATGATTCATACAAAAATACGATCTTTACTTTTTAAAAATAATAAAACAATTTAAGAGTTAATTGTTTTTTGTATATGTAATGCCTTATTCATGATTAAATTGAATATGTCGCATGAATGAATAATTTTCATGAAGTGACACAAACTATTAGTAATCATTAACCTCAAAAGGTGTTGTTCATGAATTATTGTGACTTTTTGAATTTATTTGGATGGAGAGATACACTAAAGGGTGTGTCTAGTGAGTCCAAATAAAAGGACAATAATGAACAATTCTGTCTAGAGACTCATGGCGAAATGACACAAACTAAAACTTGTGTCTAATCATGGCAAGTATAGAGGCATCAACATAAAGTGATGTCTGGTATTTTTAATTGAAAATTAAGACATGAGTCAAAATCATGTGAAGTCATCCAAAAGGTAAAGTGAAACCAGGGGGTGTGAATGAAAAAAATATAAATGAAAGGTTATATCTAGTCATTCCAAAAGTGAAAACCCCAAGGTTGTTATTGAAAAGATACTAGTTAAAATTGTGTCTT